ATTATTAATGTTACACAAAATTTTAATTAGTGATCGACAAGTGATTTGCCTAATCCTGACATGACCACTGATTGTTAAGTCTAAACTAAGCTAATTATATTTAGGTTGCAAGTGCCTTCGAAGATTTATATTCTCTAACAGAAATGAAAGCTCTGGTAATTGATGCTGAAACGTAGCCTGACAATGCGAATGCAAATTTATGGTGTTTAAAATGTGATGTTGAACAACTTATAAATAAGAGCACCAGTTATGAGAAAATTATGTGAAAGAGGATAGAAATAGAACTTAATAATATAAATATAGAAAATCTTAGATTTGATCATCCAATATGTTCGGAAGTCCTCAATATTAAATCAGAATTTTTCATAAACATTCCTGAGTCATTTTGCGATATTTTTAAGGAACCATTTCAAAAATATAAGTTAGAACAGAATTAAGATATATTAGACACTTGTAAAGAATTTATTCAGAATGAAGAATCAAAGATTAATAAAGATGAGGATTTGTGTGATGTTAGATTTGGGAAATGGTTAGATAGCTCTGAAAGGCTTTAAAATATGACAAAACAAATTTTAGAATCTTTGTAAGTTTATTATTTTTCGCCTTATATTCCTTCTATGTATTTGCTTATTACTCATGAATAATATAAATGGGTGGGATTTTTTCTAGGTTTAAAGTTTGGAAATCACCTAAGTATGAAGCCTAAACAAAAAAAAGAAAATCGGTTAATGAAGAGTTATACGTCTGTGAAGTACTTGCGCTATTAATAAATATAGTAATGAGTAATTTGTCTGGAAATCCTGTTGTATAGGATATATGGTAAGCACTTAGTATCTACTTATAAAATATTTCTTTTCTGTCGTACTTTTTTCTTATTTAATGATTTTCCTAAATAGGGGTAAAGAGGGAGTTCAGCTAGTACTTATGAAAAGGATCTCGCAAGTTTGCACGAAAGTCTGATTATATGACCATAGCGCAATTAGGAAAAGATGTAGAACTCAAAATAGTATATCTTGAAACTGGTAGGTCAAATTCCAGCTAAGATAAACGCTAGCGAGATCATAAAAAATTAATTTGATTATCCAAGGATTTTATTGATACTACTAGGATTTTATCGAAGCTTAAAAGAATATTTAATCAATTTTCCAAGAGGTAAAATTTGACTATATTTGCTATTAACATTGCAGGTAATGCATTATATTTTTACTTTTTTCGATCATACTATACTCCTGCTCTTGTATTACAAACTAATAGTAAATAATCATGTTGCTTTTATTTTAGGCGATGTTATAGAACTTTATGCTATGTGAAAAGAATTGGGTATTTATAAATACTACTTAATAGAGAAAGCAACAATTCCATTGTATATGACTTCTCTAAATATCGTATATCCGCTTATACATGCGTTGATGACTCTGAGAACGGCTGTCGCATGTACAATTTACAAAATATTATATAGTTCTGACTCTGAGGATAGTAAACATAATTCTAGTAAAATGATAGTAACGGTTTCGATCTCAAAAAATTCATAGAATAGAGATTTCATATATGTAATTTTTATTAAGTTCTAATAAAGCGGTATATATTAACATACTAATATTACTAAGAATAGTATTACGCAATTTTGCGATAATGGCATGGTAATATGGTATTTTTTTTAGATCTAATAGTACAATATATTATTTGATACGGTATTGACGCAATATTTTCCTTGACCCGAGGTTAGCGAAATTTCAGTCATATGATTTTTCAGGTGATACAATTTTAGACTATCTTAATGTAATCGCTTTCACGTGACTTTGGTTAAAATCATTTCACAGTAGTTATCTGCATGATTCTAAGCCATATCTAATATATATAGTCATTCAATATGTAATGACTTGTCTTTTGCGCTTCTGCCACTCCTCTCTCCATGTAATTGCAATAATGTAATTAAGAAAGGTATATAATACCTTGGTCTCTAGAGACCTGAATCCCAAAAAAATAAAAAGCTTTTACAATGTGGACTGACGAGTAACTTCGAGTCTTGATCGACAATCACAAAGAAAATAACGAAATGTTTCATGAACTAGCTGAGAATGGAAAGAGAATTTTCTGGAAGAAAGTCTTCACAAAGATCAACCTTCAGTTTGGAACGTCTTATACTGGTACGCGTTGTAGGGAAAAGTTTGAGAGTCTTAAACGGGATTGTAAAGTATGTAGAAATCCTTCTGAAATCTCTGAAGCCTCAGCCATGCACAGCACTTGATGCCAGACTAATTTATCTTTTCTATTTAGCGTATGGAAGAATACATCAATGGTAAAGCCAATGGAAAAAGGACTAAGAACGGCCTCAAGTATTATGAGGAATTCAAAGAACAGTTCTGGAAAATACCAGGTAAAAATTAGTTGATCAGAGAAAGAAATATTTATGAGAAGATATATTAATCCCTAATACTTTATTTCACTATAGTGACTGACTATGATCGGCTCCGTGAACAAAATATTGCAAGAAGACATCAAACCCCACCACCGCCACCGCCATATGAAGAAAATGGAGGTTCTACTTTACAAGTACCACCACTACACTTGTAATGATAGGAATAATTATATCTAGCTATTAGTATTTTTCGCTGTAGTTATTTTATATTGCTAGAACTTACCCAATACTTGTATAATGTGAATACCAATTATAATAAAATAATATCATCATTTTTGGAGGAAAATTAACCGAGAGGCGCTTTGCATGAATTAGCTTGAGTACTTTTTTCTTGCGCTTCTGCCTCACCTCTATCTCCTTCTGCAGATTTAGTGGAGTGTCAAACCTTAGGCGGATTGCAAGGGGATCATCTTCCGGCCTAGTAAGATCAAATACAATAAATTCACCTCTTTCGAAGGTGCATTTTTCACATCATCAGTATAACGGCCGATTTTTATGCTTTACCGGAATTTTTTTCACGCTGATCGGCGTCACGCGCACGTGATTTGGGAAATTCACTGTACGTGTCTGTGCGACTATACTTGGCTTAAGAACATCCCCAAAATTTTTTTAGGAATGTCACAAAATAATAATGGCTGACAAATTACACGAATATTTCAAGCGTACTTCCTCTGAATGGTGTGTTACAGGCTTTCTAGATTAATGCGAGACAGAGCCTTTCGAACGGAAGATAGATCAGTACCTTAGGTGTCTTTATACAATTGCTGGCGGTGTGGAAGACAAGAGGAAGGAAGAGCGGAGACACTTCTTAAGAACTACAAAGAGGCAAGTAAATTTATGTCAAAGGTATAGGTGAAAAAATGGTGAAAAAATAGTGGCGTGATAGGGGGATACCCACTCGGTTCTCTGTCATTCAAGGCCATTCGCCGAGCCACAAAACCAGTGCTGGGGCACAGGTGACCCATTCGGTTGTCTGATGTTTAAAGGCCACTCGCCGAGCTGGCATTGGACCCACTAGGGCACAGGTGACCCACTCGGTTGTCTGATGTTTTGGTGGGATCGGGAATAAATAGGAACCAGAAGTGTGTTAGCGAAGAATATTATTAAGATTTTCAAATCTCTTGCTAGGATCCTCAAACAGATCGAAAAGAAGCGAGAAAATGGAATGAAGAGCGTTCTCGCAAGCAGGTTCATTATCACCAGCCGATAATTACTGACATCAGTGGAAATATGACCGGGAATATAGGGACGATGACTGGTGGATCGTTCGTTTTTGAACCGAAAAGAGAAGTGGAAGATCAAGGATGAACGAAAAACAATTGCAAATTCCGAAAACAATATGTTTTCAGCATCCGAGGATGAGGCACGATAGTTCTCATTGGGAATATGTTTAACATCAAAGTTCTATTTGCCCTAATGCTTTTTTTTTTTTCTGTGAACAGTATGTACATTCGCAGTAAACTTTAAACGAAGGTATAAAATTACCAGCTTCTAGCAAACGAGGAAATGAAACAACTGAAAAAGACGTTTCTAAACGTAAAAAGGTTAAAAAGGTAAAAAATTATAGGTGGTAAAAGCTACAAGAACGTAAAAACTTATGTACATTTTTCTATATTCAGACAAGAAAGAGCGTGAAAAGTGATCTTCAACCAGGAAACGGAAGATCTTCCGAGTCTCCTCTCTCTGATGAGAGTAATAAAGAACTTGATGAAGACGATATGGAAATTAAGTTCTATTTAACAAGTATTTCAACCGAATTACAACGTGAACCGATAGTCAAAGTATGACACATATTTAATTTTGATTCTTTACTACATGTACCTTACAGTTTGATTCTGTTTTTAGTGGAATGTTGGTCACATTAATGTAACCGATCGGTTTCGGCAGTACCAGAAAGAGATTATTAAGAAAGCGGAAATAAAAGGGTTGAAATACGATAACATATATGAACTCTTGTATGTATTCTGAAATATGTAACATTTGACTGGCAACGATTTTATTGAGCATCTTTTTTCTTATTATATTTAGGGCTTTATCATCGATTATTGTCCTCTCCTGGCCATGTCCGTACCCCTCTTTATTCACAATTCAATAGTGGAAGGAAGTCACAGAAAGTAATCCTCGCGCTGTCAAAAAGTCCTTATTTCCACCGGAAATTTTGTCATCTCTCAACGAAGCGTCATTTAATCATTTTCTCAGCATGGACACATTCATGGAAGGTGGAAAGTCGAAACTAGGCAGACTAATTGCACGATCGTTCAATGACTTGTAAGTAATGTGATTTTATAATATATACATGGGATTGTAGCTTATATAATTTTTTTTACGTCGTAGATATGACAGCACTATGAAGATTGCTCCGTTAAAGCTGTCCGAAGAAGAGCATTGTTTACATTTTGTCTATCCAATTGCCCGTCCATTTTTCGTTGGTGAAAAAGAATACGATTTAGTATTGAACCGTTCTAATACGGGTTCTAAAAGAAGACCGGACCTTTCATGTGTTGTAGATGGTGTACCAATATTGAATTCAGAATTTAAACCCTTAGGTAATACACCATTACAACGATTAAAGGATAGATTAAAGGCACAGCTAAAGGCCCGGAAGTCTATCAATCAACAATTGCAAAGTAAGGGAGGTCCGGGCGAAGCTGTTATATTTTTAAACATGGGTAGGTGGGAGATTGTATGAGAATTTATTTTTTATATATTATATATTGATTTGTTTTCTGTGACAATTAGGCGATTTGATGGAATCTTACTCCATGGACCTTAAGTACGACGGTTTATACCGTTCCTGGCCATTCCTCACTACCAGATTGGTAGTTGACAAGACAATGATTCCGCTTGCGGGAGTCGCGATTTATCATTTGGCATCTTTAGAGGTATATATCACATTTTTCTTGTTTATATTGAGAATTTTCACTTAATTTCATTCGCCCTTTACAATGACAGGAGCACGTTGAACGGATCGCAAAAGATTTTAAATATCGAACATGTCGTAGTGGAAATACTACACCAACCGAACAAATGTCTTTTATGCGTAACTTTCCGGATTCACCACAAGTTAAAAAATTGATTCATTAAATTAGGGTTGGTTCATCATTTATTAGATTTAGAATCTGATGTATTTAGATTGGGTAGCATAAATGTATATTTTCGCATCTATTATTGTCAATAATTATGTATATGTAACTATAGTATATAACTGCAAAATAAATACATATCTGATGTTACATTCCATTTTTATATTTCCGGATTTTATACACATTTAAAAAAAGCGGGGAATGCATTTATCGTAATAAAATAACAGCTGAAAAAAATAATAAATGCCGATTAGCATTTAAAGATTCGAGTCTATTCAATGAGACCCAATTCTCGAAGATGCTCTGGAATAACTACATATGGGTCTTCGTAATACCAAACGTACCTTAGGGCAATCTGATTCTCTTCACATAATTCTTTCTTGAGTTGATCCCGTGCTTGCTGTTTGATAAAATTATTGGGATTGTCATTATGAAAGAATTCTATATATCTTTTGTGTTGTTCTCCTTGTACTTCGATTGCCAATCCATATTGTGGGTAATAAATGTCAAGTTCTAATCCAGTTGGGTGATCTAAAGGTTTAAGAAAATCAGGTCGACGTATCTTAGATGGCAGTCCAAGATATTTTGACATAATCTCGACACAATCTTTCACGTTTGTATTTAGAGCAATATGGACACCATGAATTATCATTTTTTACATGAGAAAGGGTAGCATACCATTGATGGCTTTTATTGCATTTCCAAAGTAACTGGCTCTTGCTATTAATATAGGAATCTGACAAACATTCTCCATCTTGGCTATATGCAATAGATTTGGCCATCGAAATATCAAATTTTGTACTAGCACAATTAGTTTTGTTTTTAATACCACTGATGGAAGCGAGCCATTCATGTGATTTGGACATCTCCAGCGTAAATGCGTTGTATAATTGATGTAAACATCAGATAAACATTCTCCATTTCTGCTACGTGCTAATTTTTCGCATATTCAATGTCAAGTTTCTCAGATTTACCTATACAATGTGGACACCAAGTCCCTCTTTGAATACTATCAATCCGAGCAAGTCATGAATGTCCTTCAGAATATCTCCAAGAGAGTGGAGTACGTCTGTTATGATAAGAACTAGAAAGACATGTCCCGCCTCTTTTATTTGCAAGAATTTGAGCAAATTCAAGTTCAAGTTTCATGCATTTCCAGCACCAATTTCCTTTATTTTTAATATTTGAAAGCGATAGGCGAAATTGATGATTATTTTTGCATTCCCATAAGAGAAGTGAGCTATTATTGACATAATTCTCAGAAATACGCCTTCTATTTTTAGCACGTGCTAATTCTTTGGCCACTGAAATACTAAGTTTTCTATTTAAGCAATAAGGACACCATGAATGACGATTTTTGATAGATAGAAATGAACAATTCCATTGATGGTTTTATTACATTTCCAAAGCATTGGAATTTCACAATTGATATACTACCCTTCAAAAAGTATCCGGTCAAGCTTTTTTTAAATTTCTCAAGATCGGATATATTAACTAAATAAAATTTTTTTTTAAATA